CATGGCTACTGCATTTAGAAAAAACACTTAAACCCATCTGTACAGAAATTTTAAGGGGTTGGGAAGAAGTAATGTGAACATGAAATAGATCACTTGATGTTATATAATATACTTAGCATTGTAGAAATTATATTTTTGGTTTATCCTGACATTTTAAACATGCAGTCAGTATACAGACAATCATACTAGACAACACATCCGAGCTGAATTTAAATGAAATGTCCTTCTTTCTCAATGCAATCAGGCCCAAACCAGAAAATACAGGCATCTAACATTATGCCCTAAGCAACAAATTCTTCCTTGGTTGGATAAATGAAAGATTTGTCTAAAAGAGAATTTAAAAGCTCCAAAATGAATAGTAATAGCATCGAATAAAGGGGTTAAATATATTTGCATTAACTAAGACTAAAAAATACATTGGCAATTTCTACATGTAATTTGGTTGGATGAACTGACTCTCCTTTCTGCCTATTCACCCCATGTTGGTTAAGATCTGATCCTTCTTTAGTAGAAAAGTCTTCTCCATTTTTTTGTAATGATGTGCAGCGCTGTGGGAGCTGGGAAACTCTTCGGTGCAGGCACAAAATTAGTCGTATCCAGTAAGTTCTTACAATAAATCATTTAAAAGTTTCATAGTGGTAAAATCTATTACACGATGGTTGATCATTTACCTTGTAAGTTAAGAGACAGAGAGAGATAAAGCCATATTAGAAGTGTACTAGCTTATTAACAATGATACTATCTTAAGTTGTTGGCCAATGGCACAAGTAGCAATAATACTTTCTTTTAGGGGATTCAGTAATGTAAGATGCTAGGTAACTTGAATTCCTATTGCCTGCAGTATGGATGTAGCAGGAGTACTTTACTTTTTGCCATTTGCACTATGTGCTCAACCCAATTTTCACTTTGAAAAATTAGCGTTTACTTTGTTTTTGAATTCTAAATGCAGAGTGGATTTTGTTCTCAAATGGTAAATCAGTATGATAGCTTACTACAAGAAGAAAAAGCACATTGTAAACCCAAAGATATGAGTTGTAGAGCATTATGTACAACCTAACTGAGCAATTCTAACTCTTGAAAATTGGAAATAGACTACTTAGAAATGAAGGCAGAAGCATAGGGTTCAAATTTCCTCAGAGGTGTATATAAAAATTAACTTATCACTTAAAGCATTTATTAGAAATTTCCACTTCAGCTGAGCAACAAGGCATTTTGAAAAGTTAAGTGGGACCAAAACAACAGATGGTTCAACAGCAAAAATTGCTTCAAAATTAAAGGTCTGTTCTCTATAACGCAACAGAGTCAAACTCAAAGCCAGTGGAAAGAGTCCCATTGACTTCGGTTAATTCTGGATCAGACTAAAACGTTCTATGTATACATTGGCACATCTGTTTTTGTAAACAATTACTGTGTGTATGCATGCAAAATTCAGAATTTATTTTAGATATATACCTAGATGTATGTGCCTACAGGAATCCCCAATTTAGACTCATGCATGCTGTAAAACAAGACACTTGACAGTGACTTTACCCTTGAAAGCTCAGAGTCATGATGTCTAAGAGATACCCAAAAATTGTGAGGTTTTGCAAAGAGCAGTGTCACTAGGCAGGATCCAATGTAAAAAGTTTTATGAACCATCCATACAACTTGAGGGAGTATATAATTTTGAAACCTACTGTATGGTCAAGTCCTGTTTTCCTGGGAGTTTTTCAGCACATTTGAAATGTAAAACAGCACCAAACCAAGTATGTAGTGCTGAATAACCATGCTTGTAATCTCAAAGAACAACAAACACAACAACAAATAAATCAATCCACTTTTTTGACAATCCATGAACATGTAGCGAGGACAAATTAATTGAGAAAACTTACAGATTCTTTTGTTGCTGTTGTTAGAAAATCTTGTGCAACGGCCAGCTTAATTTGTTTCTAAACAAAAAATCATCCAAAAATGTGCTTAACACAACCCTAAGTACAAGGTTTATAGTTTGATTCAGTCCAAAACTGTTTCAGGGAACTGTAGAATAACCTGTATAAAAATAAGGTGAATACAGTAAAAGAGGTTTAGTTTTTATCACTTTAGTAAAAGATTTACAAATGTTGACACTATTTAGGCTTTCCATAGTGCATAATATGCAGGTCTATACATTTTTGCAAGATGGAGGAGTGCTGTATATTTTTAATTCATTTCTGTACAGTTGACCAAACAAAGGCTAGAATGCCAGCCATTTTGTTTGGTGAAGTATAGATACATTTTTTAAATGAACGCTAACTTTTGCTTGCAATTAAGATTAGACACAAACAGAAAATACAAAGGAAATAAGCATTTAGTTTCAAATTAAAATCAGATATTTAATAAAAGCAACCTCTGCTTTGTTGTACATGCGTACAGTCAGGATGCTGCTGTTCAGGGGACAGTAGCCTTTAGCAGTTTGCTGAGCTGTGAACCTCATACTCTTTGGGTTTTATCACAGGGAACAAACAAGGGACAGATATATTAGGTACACTGAAATAGGTTCACTACTTGTCATAATGAGTATGTTAAGTATACTCTTTAGCATTATTTTTTTTAATTGTCAACACTGTAGCAAAGAGCTGACCCTTTGGATGCACACCTTTTTCTTTTTGGCATGGTTCACTATAACCAGTTCATATGCTTACGTAAAACTAATTATGACAGTACTTGCATCTCTTCTAGTTCAAAATCTCCATGGGTTTGGTTTGGTTTTTTACCCAGGTCTATAATTTGGCAGGAATTCTGAAATGCCCAAAAGAAAGTGATGTTTTTTGTGTTCGTTTCCAAAGTGACAATTCTATGGCAGAATTATTTGAAAATAATGTCTGAGATAGTGTAGAACTTAATTGATTGCATCTCCCACTCAAATTCATTGTTCAGTATTAAAAACAGCACATCTGAAATTTGGCACACCTAAAATGTAAGACTGAATGGAATAAGTTAAGTACTGCTTCAAAACCATAGTTTAATATTCAAAGAACACCAGATACAGCAACACAACAAGCAAACAAAATCAATCTGCCTCTGCTGGAAATCCCTGAATTTTTGGTTAGAAATCTGATATGATGGCTGTCTTCATTTGCCTCTTAAACAAAAATCAAACAAACAAGGATCTTAAGTACAAGGTTTAAAGTTTGATTTAGTCCAAAACTGTTTCAGGAAACTCTAAAATAACCTGTATAAAATAAGGGGAAAGCATTTTAGTAAAAGAAGCTTTTAAAAATGACGTTGACACTAACCAGGCTTTTCATAATGAATGACTTTATTCATAGATTCATAGATGTTAGGGTCGGAAGGGACCTCAATAGATCATCGAGTCCGACCCCCTGCATAAGCAGGAAAGAG